AGATCCATAATCACAAGTCCAAGCTTGAACCATGATGACTATGTTTTAGTAAACTTTGGTAAAGGGACATCTCAACACACTGCTACCTGGTCAATTTGCAGCAAATGATTGGCTAATCGGTACGTTCTCGCTGTGTCAAGGGCACATGAGAGCTTGCTTCGCCTCCTCGACTTGATACCGAGATCTACCAAGGTTCTTACTGCCTATGTGGAAGTTGTTCTTGACAACTCTGATCGGTTTGCCCCTGAGATCGGCGCAAGTAGCGGGAAAATGTGATCCAGAATGGACTGCATCCAATAAACCAAAGTGCTCAGTAATTTACGATACACTAGAACGATTTCTAAGGTTCTATAAAACAAAGCTGTTTAGTCAGAGTTTGTTCTATGTTTGTTTGATATTCTTTGATCAGCTGTTAGCATTGTTAGCTGTTCTTTGTTCTGACAGTAGAGTCTGCATACCCCATTGCCCCAAGGCGCATACCGTTGGACAATGACACAGTATCCATCCGCCGCTTGATTGGTGTGAAGAAGGCGACAAGTTGGGAAGCTGTGTGAACGTGGCCATTTCATTCAAGTCAGCAGATCCCAGAAATCCACATTGGCTGCTCTATGGCATTTGACCATCGATTGTTTCGGTTACAAAGTATGAGAACTTGGATTTCACGCTTGAATCTGCTTGAAGTCATTGGATCGCGCGGTTTTTTGGGGGTGCCCAGCTGAAGCAAAGACGCACCATCGTCGCCTCTTGGCCACTGCATCCATTCTCCGGCCCCACAGAATTCAAAATCGATCAATTTATTGGTCTACAAATGATTTACATGTACTTTTTATATCTTTTATATTCTTTTATATCTTTTTATCCATTTGGATCCTTGAATATTTGCTTTCGAAAGCACGCAGCATGCGTCGGTGCTTGAAACAGCTGTCCAATCACGGCAATCGCTGGAGGATGATTGGCTCTTGGATGGAAAGCACGCGACCAAAGCTGAGATCTTCGGGCTCTTGGAAGGCCGTAGTCTGCTCCAGCCATTGGAGAGGGGTGACCCTGTCCACCAGCAAGTGAAGTATCTTGTCATTGTTGGTAAAATGAACCAACGTTTGCTGTTGATATTTGAGGTGGTAAATCCATGTAAATCCCGGCTTTTGTTGTTTGGATCATTGTTCTCGACCAGTGAATTAGTGAACTACCTGGCTGTTACAGTATTTTTTGTTTCCGTGGCAGCGTTCGGTGGTAAATGAGTTGGATCGTCAATTTGGCGCTCAGGTGGCGGAATGCCATTGGCGTGAAGAAATCATCATCTGAAAACTCTTGAAATTGTCCCTTGCTTGTCCCTTGTTTATTTTGCTTGGCAGGTGCTGGTTTTGCCAAGACGAGCCCATACTACATTGTGCAGCAGGGCAAGGCTCGCCGCAAGAAGCTGCCGCCATCGATCCTTCAAAATGTTTCGATATGTTTCGATACAACATTCGATACAACTTATTTATTATCTTACAACACCTAACCCCTTTGCCAAACCTTTCTTTCCTGCACTTTTGTTGGGCTATGGATCAAAACCATTCAAAATCATTCAAAACCCTCTTTGTTGGGACGCATTGGGTATAGTAACCAGTAATTTTGCAATACTTGATGACATTCATGTTCAATTTTTATTGTCCATGCGGAGTTGAACAAACTCTGTCAGTAAAATTTTGCAAACATCGTCGCTACTGTACGATGGCTTTGGTGCTTTGTTTGGTTTGGAGCATTTGGAGCTTGAAGCCACCAAGGTCAGCGAGCTGACCATGATGACAGATTCGCAGCGTCTCGGCCTCCTCAAGGACTGCATCTCAACATAGATCAGATATGGTCAGAATGTGTCAGATATGGGTCAGATATGTTTCTTATTGTTTATTTATAGATTTTACTTAGAGGATCTTAGAGGTGCAGAACTGCTTTCGAATGCAAAAATATGACACTCCCGAGATAGACTTTAATTTTGACAAACTCAAGTTTGCTGGACTTGTCTTGTCACCACTTTTGCAATAGAGGAATCAAACAACTTGGCCTTGGGATGCCTTGGGTGTTGTATATGTTAACCAGGCATAGCCATTAGCCTTTGGAGCCTGAGACCACAGCTAGATGTGGCTATGGGTCTGGACATGAACAGTGGCAGCCAACTTTAGCTTCACCCAGAGAATCTCATAAGAATATCACATAATATCACTAAAGAGAATTACCTGACAAGCCATCCAATTTTGATCTTGGAAAATGGAATGCGGAGAGCGGAGAACTGACGAGGACATCTCTGGAGCTGGAGTCTACGATGAGCGTCGCGCAGAGTCAGTGAAGATCATGGAGGACCAGGGTTCTAAGGATTCTAATGACTCGTTTATCGCAAACATTCGCGCACATAGTTGATTTTTACATCTCTCACTCAGCGCCAACCGATCTAAGAATGTTGAAATTACCACTGATTGGATCAAGCATTGCAGAATCCTCTAGGACTCCGAGTCATCACACTACCTCTGGCCAGCCTTCCAGGTGATGTTATGTTAGTCATATGAATTCGCGTCCGGGGAACATTGAATCTCAGAGATCTCAGAGGGCCTTTGGGGAAGGAACACTGAGAATTGGGCATGTGCTACCCAAAATATCTCAAAGCCTTGGTATCGAAGGATTTGCCAAAACAAGCATCTATGATCACCATCACCATCACCATCACCATCACCATCACCATCACCATCACCATCATCACCACCACCACCACCACCATCATCATCATCATCATCACCATCACCATCATCATCACCATCATCATCACCATCATCATCATCATCACCATCACCATCACCATCACCATCATCATCATCATCATGATCATGATCATGATCATCATCATCATCATCATCATCATCATCGTCATCAGCATCAACATCATCATCATCATCACCACCATTACCATCACCATCACCATCACCATCATCATCACCATCATCATCATCAGCATCATCAGCATCATCAGCATCATCAGCAGCACCATCAGCATCACCAGCATCATCATCACCACCATCATCATCATCATCATCATCACCATCATCATCATCATCATCATCAGCATCATCATCATCATCATCATCATCATCATCAGCAGCAGCAGCATCAGCATCGTGCATCGTGCATCGTGCATCGTGCATCATGCATCACACATCTATTTTCCAAGAGTGGTGCAGGACACAGCCATGCGGCGAACTCAGACAGAGGCCCATTTGTTTCGCTCTCTTCCAACGTGGCATCCTATTATTGTCAACCGAAACCCTCCAAGACCTAATGCTGTCCGATACAATTCCCTTTCCATCCTGTTGCAACCCATTAACATCATGAACTGACTTGACATGTTTCCATCATGTTGAAGTAGTTTCTTGAATCTATATAGATTTATTATGATTTATTAGTCTATTGTTGTTCATTTTTCTGTTCGAGTTGGAGTCTCTTTTTTTCTTTTGTTGTGCCAGCACAGGGCTTGGTTCAAGAGATCGAGCAAAAACTACAAACCTTGGAGGTCAGGGGAGCAGCCTAGCAGGCCTAGCATTGTGACCCCTCATCAGATGGCTTATCTGAGTTAGGGGTTTTGGTTGGAAGTACCAGTTGAAGTGAGTTGAGGTCGTTATACTCTGAATTTGAATCACACACACGTACGAATTTAAACGACAAAAGGATAGCCTTGACATCACAACTCAGAGGTTTTAGTGTCCTTGAGCAGGGATCTAGAAGTCCGACCAAGATGGAAAATGTTACATTGTTAATCATTGTTACATAAATTTGCCAGTCATTCTTGGCAATTTCTTTTAGGCTGGGATTGCCACGGAGAATGACTTGGCTACCCGAATCAATTGATTCATGATTTGGTCTTGACCAAGTTTTGCAGGGCTGTTTCAAAGTGTGGAAGTTACCAATTTCATTTGAGTATTGCTGTATTGCTCAACCCTTAATATGATGCTTGCTGAGCTGTTCTACCACCGTACAGGCTCCACCAAGACCGATAAAAGGATCCTGTGAACACTGTGAACATTCATTGAATGAAACATTCATGTGCCAAGAAAGTGCCAACTATTGTCCATTCATTCCATTCGCACAGTGGTTTTTGCCTGCACGAGGAGGAACAGCGTGAGTTGCGGGAGTGCGAAAAGTTGGAAGCTCGTCGACGCACCTTGGAGTACGTGGGGATCCAAGTCTGACAGACCAATTCATCAAAAGGATTTGCGAAGGCTTACCATGGAACGAAGCAGCAAAGGATACCTGGGGGGAACGGGCTGTTTCAAAACTTCACAAGATGTTGCGTAATCACCGTACTGTAATGTACTGTACATTAAAATTGATGGCCCCCATTGTGAAAACATGTTCCACAGAAGAGTCCCCCCGGTACGGATCCACACGTTGAAGATTTGCCTATTTTTTTTTACAGCTGAAGCAGCACGGGTGCGAGTTAGAACTTCCAAGCACCGGTCCATAAAAGATCAGGCTGATCAGACAGTCTGTCATAGTTTGAAGATTCTTGACGGTTCTTGAAGCATGGCCTGCTGTGCGAAATGATTATTTTTGAAACCGCCTATCAAAGACAATGGGATCAGTACGCTAGCCCTGATCCTGGAAATGTCATCCACACATCGGTGCAAAAAGTGTGTACATGACATGAATGAAGGTTTTCAGAAATTAAGACTCCAAGAATCATGCCAAATCGATCCAGATTATAAGCCACTTGGCTCAAGAGCTGCGTGTGGACCTTGTCACATCAGACGAACCACATACTTCCAAATTTACCATCAGATCACTGAGCAAATATTTCAATAACCATTCATCTCCAAAATGTCATGAAAATCGATGAAAATCGCACATCAACAACATGTCGAGTGAACCCTGACAAATCACCCAAAATCCTGAGAAACGATGATTTTCACTCGTTTTCAATATGTTTCATTGCATCATCCCCCACGGTTTTGCAGCTCACGACGTTGACGTTCGTGATGTGGTCCTATTGCTGCTCTGAGACGACAACTGGTGTGCTTGAAGCTTGACTATCCAAGACATATTATGATCCTGTTCCACGTCTAAGCCAATTGTGACAAACGAACATTGTAGAATGTGTTTGCATGTGTTTGCCACAGGACCATTTTCTTTGCAATCTGCGTTTGGTTTGAATCTCATGCCTGCTGCGCATCTTGTCTTGAGGATGCTGGAAGCACATTGCCAGAAGATAAAGGCTTTGTGAGGTCAGTGGATACCATTGGCCGCCGATGGGGTTCCTTGTGCTGAGAATAATTTGGGAGCATGGGCAGCGTAAGAGGATTTGCTTGATTTGCAAAAAACATATCGAATCTATCTGGGCAGTACAATGCACAAGTGAGTGAATTGATCATATGGATTTACAACATGTATACCGTATACCCTAATAAAACCCAGCATATGTATATATATATATATATATATATAATGATGTGTATATATGTACATACACACACATAATATATAAATAATACATAATATACATAAATATGTAATTATATAATATTATATATTTGATATACATGGGAGAGGGAGAGCTACAATATGCACACAGTTCATTCATCGCCTGGGCTACCACGCACCTATGGTGTGTGTCTTTCGTATTTGGTTTTGAAACAACATTGGTACGACTTTTCATGGGCTTGAGCACCTTTTTGTCAAGGTGACTTGCGCAGTTTCAAGGTCCTTCAAGCTCCATGATAAACAAGCAGTAACAATGGAAAGTTGTAACATGTTGTTGTTGGCGCGTCATCCGTCACCCGCCAAAAAAAATGAGAGCAAACATGGGTAGGACCAACATGTACACACTAACGTTTAGACTGTGGAAAGAACCCTCTTTGTCATTTGTTGATTTTGTTGTTCTCAATATATATATATATATATAACTTTGTTCAAGCGATGATCACTGGCCATTAGTGGCCTGAACTTGATCATCGTGGATTGTCACCCCATGAACAACGATTTTGACCATAGCAGGTTGATTCGATTGGTGAATTGAAACGCCTTTGATCTCATTTGACATCATTTGACTATATTTGACGCAAAATGCACCGGGTGTATTTGGGAAGATTTCTACAGCCATCCCTCGCCATGCATTTTAGGCGAAGGTCCTGTGGTGTCGAGGCGTTGCAACTGTAAAGCTGATAACGAGGCCAGCTGGGTGCGGGGGACGGGACGGACTCTTCGCAGACTCTTGGCATCTCTCCGCATCATTGAAACTTTTTCCAAGGCTAAGATCGTGCGAGCAGATTGGACTTTCCAAACATTTCCAGAAGTCTGGAGTATCAGACAAAGATTGAGATAAAGATGTTCCCAAAATGTCCCAAATGAAACCGCCAAGAAAAGGGGACGTCGAAAGATCTTAGCTCCAAGCATCTGCGCCCAGGAGTCAACTGATAACTCGGAGTCGGACAGCGAGGAGTCGCAACTTGGCAAATGGACGACGCAAGACAACGACTATATGTCAAACGCAGAGAAGTCTAATCTGAATCACGGATCATTCACGGATCATCACGATTTTCACCATTTCTCACCGAAGTTTACGAACCGTAGGTTTAATTATCAATGTTTATTACGGTGCTACTACAATATCCTACAATATCTTCCCTTATTATTCTGTCCTCAATCATGGTGCACAACGACTCTGGCGACTGGCTGCAATTTAGGGGCCACTTGGAGGCTTCTGGGAATAAACGGAGTTCTGGAGACAGGTTGATGGGTTTGAGGCATTATGTCACCAAGAAACATCGTGAAACCAAAACCACAATTTTCTCACAAGATGCTGGAACACTCGAGCAGACATGCTTTGACGGTGTTTGTCTTACATCCCCCTAACCTCGTCTTGATAGCATCGGCCTGATTGCTCACACTCAGATGATGGAGATCAAGATGCTAAGATACTGTAGAATCTGTAGATCAAGATTATCATATATCTTTGAAATGAGACGTCCTTGAATGTCTTTGATAAATGAATAATATGAATATAGACAAACACACATACAGGATGTGATGTCACGGAATCCAGATTTGGGTCTTGCCATTTGATGCCGACTTCCTTGTTTCACTGAGTCCATTACGTCAACTGCGCACAGATGTGCCGGGCATCATCTGAGGCCTGGCACTACCCTTTACCTCCGGGAGAACAACGCCAGCCGGGAGTTTGCGTCAGTCGGCGGCTGAGATCCCAAGGCTTCAAGGCCAGTTCCCCTCTGGGTGGACTGGAACATCTGGACCTACAAGCGGTTTGGGTCAAGAGTGGTCAAGTGTCCGAATCCCAAATGGCAGAATATGCAGAATGATTGGATTTCAAGCATGGTGACATGAGTATCAGTTTGTGGCACTGACAAGGCCTCGTGGAGGGAGAATGCCAAGAAGCGACTGGGCGAACAGATCTATCTATAGATCTGGTATTTATCCTCTAAATTTCGATCGAATAGCTCCGATGGGTTGCACGACAAGTTAGGAACATTAGGAACATCGTCCTTAAAGTCCGGGAGTAATCTGTGCGTGAAAATTTCTTGACCCTGGAAGTTTTTTTTTTCAACACCAATTTCTTTCCCACTCCTCCAAGATCCTCCAAGGCTTCTCGGGGATTTGAGGGCTCCTTGGGGCTGTAACCCGTGCCGGGGTACCCATGAAATCCACTATGAAGAAGCAGTCAATGGGATTTGATGCAGCATGTCCAGCAATGCATGTCCAATTGATGGTGGAATTGGAGTTCGCTACGTGCCAGAACCAGAGATAAATTTGCTGCACGTTTTACTGGACCTGGTCGGGCGTTGCCCAGGAAACACCAGCTAGGTCCTCCAGATACACAACTCTTCGCGAGTGGCCTAGCAACCCTGACTTCACAGCTCCCGCAGAAGTCGCATCCAACGTGGATCACTATGAAGGAACGGCTGAAAAGGGTGAGCATGGAAGTGAAGTTATCAGTTGACCAGACCAAACTCTGGTTCCAGGTGCATGCTGTTTCAATTTGTGCATCGCCCTTGGTAGCCTTCAGTTTTTTTTTGAATTTTGTTCAACTGGTTCGGTGAAGGGTGCGGAGTTTTTTCTTCTAGAGCAGTTCAAGAGGCTGGAAGGAATGCTGATGAATATGATGAAGGATAGGGCGATGCGGATTTGCTTTCGATGCAGACATTCTTTTGAACCTCAATGCATGACTCCATGACTGAATGAAACAAGCTCAGAAATGACATGATCAAAATGCTTGAATCTTTTCCAGGCAGTCACAAACTCAAAATACAGTTGTTTGAAGCTGTGTCCTGACTTGAAGACTTCGCAATGAGAGGCCGAATGGGAACAGAGAGTACGAGCAGCACACGAGGACACTTTGAACTGCAGTCAAGCAAGCCATGTAAGCCAAGTTGTCGGTGCACCACTATTTTTGGTCATGTGTAATATTGGTTAGCACATGTTAATACAGTGTGGTCAGTATGTCGGTCAGACTTTGAAAGGCCAGTCAAGGGTCATCTTCAAGAGGACGTAGTGTTTTCTCGAGATGTCTTGTGCATCTTTGGTAGGAGGCTGCACTGAACTGATGTATACTGTACAATATACGTAGTATATCTTCATGTGTACATCCACATACAGGGATTTATCTACAGGTCCTTGTATGGGGTTGGTACATGAGTTTACATTATGAGTTAGCTAAAGTCTTTTTTATCGGCTAAAACATGGCGACAGTTTGATTTATGACTGTACGCTTTGGGAGATTTTCACCCAAAAAAAGCAAAAGTTCTGCAAAGGTAGTGGCGAAAGTAAAGTTGTCTCAGGAAGCACGCAGTAGGTTGCTGTATCATTTCATGCAGTTTCCACAGTTGGTGCCATTTCCTTTAGTTCCATTTTCCATGCAGTTTCATTCCTTCCCACAAACATCCACGAACAAGGAAGTGGGTCACGCACCTCCCGGAGAAAAAAAACTGGAGTTCGCGAAAATTTGGCTAAAGTATTTCGTTTTGGCGAAGAATGGCCGTTTCAAGATAAAGTATATAGTTTGCTCAAAGCCCATGTATCATTACATGTATATATACAATTATATATATATATATACGTAGCATTACAGTATTTAACATTGTACGTATACACACGTCATTACGGACATATTGAAAGATGATGGTTGCAATGCTCTCAAGCCTGATGTTTGGAATTCAATCGCGTAAGACATGGTGAATGAATTATATGAAATTATATACAGTAAATATACACACCTACACATACCCACAGACTATGGTTCTGCTTGTCGACACATTTTGTGTAAATGTTATATATTAGATAAGCATTTCTACAACGAGGACATTCATACAGGTGGTGTACCTGTCCATACACATGCACCAACCAACCAATGCATGCGCATCAAAATGCATGTGTGCACATACCTGTAGCCGCGTTCCTATTTTTGCCTGTGCATGTGCAAATCATACCACAGTATTTCTTCGAATCAATCAAGAACTACATATTAAGAAATGCGTAAGCGAGAAATCTGGTGTTTACTGTTTCATGTTTTTGCATGTGCATAGGATGGCCTTTAAAACTGTCTGTGCCAATCTGGACTGAACCACAGACAGAGGCTTGGGGGAAGACCGTGAGAGCACCTGGAACGCAACCGACCACACAGGATCCCCGGGATGCTGAACGGCAGGCGGCGCTGGCGAGCATCCGCGCAATGTCAGGTCCGGCCAGGGAGCGGCGGGGAAGAGTTTGTGCAACTGACACTAGGAAGCCTGGAAGCTAGTCCATTATGAATGAATGTGGTCGAAGGAAGTTTAGAAGTCAAACTTCCGACAATATGAACAGATGAAAAGCAGAGATGGGAAGAGTCAGAGAAGAGAAGAGAAGAAGAAAGAAGATCAAACAAGTGAAAGTCTCCGAAGAAAGAAGATCGAGGTGCGCGAAAAGGTAGGAAAGTCACCAAACACTCTGTTTTTCCAAAGATTTGTGGTTCCGGAGCGTCGAAAAGTAGGCTCGCTAAAGCGGCGGGTGCAGAGCCATCTGGCCAGATGAGAGATGAAAAATTGCACGCTGTTGTGGTGCAAAGCACATTTCGAAGTCAAAATGTACAAAGCACCTCAGCTTCAGAGCACTTTTTGAAAGTGACATGTCGAAAAAGTGCACGCCGTTGTGGCGCGCAGCAAATTTCGAAGTCAAAATGTACAAAGCACCTCAGCTTCGGAGCACTTTTAGAAGTTGACATGTCGAAAAAGTGCACGCCGTTGTGGCGCGAAGCACATTTAATTTCCCAAGTCAAAATGTACAAAGCACCTCATCTTCGGAGCACTTTTTGAAGTTGACATGTAGAAAAAGTGCACGCTGTCGTGGCGCGAAGCACATGTCCAAGTCAAAATGTACAAAGCACACGATGTTCGGAGCACTTTTGGAAGTCGAGATGTCGAAAAAGCGCACGCTGTTGTGGCGCGAAGCACATTTCGAAGTCAAAATGTACAAAACACCTCAGCTTCGGAGCACCTTTAGAAGTTGACATGTCGAAAAAGTGCACGCCATTGAAGCGCGAAGCGCATTTCGAAGTCAAAATGTGCAAAGCACCTCATCTTCGGAGCACTTTTAGAAGTTGAGATGTCGCACGCCGTTGAAGCGCGAAGCACATTTGGAAGTCAAAAGTGTAAAAAACTGACGGGTTTGGAGCACTTTTTGACGTTCAGATGTGGCGTGGGACATTTGAAGAGGATCTGCAAAGATGCATTTTCCGTGGCAGGCGCAGTACGAGAGACATGTTCATCAGAGATGTTAGGAGGCCAGGGCGCTGATTTCCCTGAGAGGGGTTGCATTTAGGAGCATCAGATCTTCAGGGTTGCTGAGATGATTTTGCGTGACAGGTGCAACACTTTGTATGACTTGGCATCACTTTTTCGTGGCAGGCGCAGCACTTTAGACAGGTGGAGTGGAAAAATCGCAAAACGAATTGGCACGAGGCCGTGAGCTCTGCACTCAACTTTCCATTTTTGAAGGAAGTCTCGCCTCGCAGAATTGTTTCGTTTTTGATGTTGTCGCCGTCGAAAAATGAGGAAGTCTCTCAGAATTGCTTCGTTTTTGCATTTGTCAACTTCAAAAACTGAGGAAGTCTCGCAGAATTTGTTTCGTTTTTGACATTGTCAAGTTGAAAAACTGAGGAAGTCTCGCAGAATAGCAGATAGACAGATAGATAGATAGATAGATAGATAGATGGACAACTACAACTGCAACTACAACTACAACTACAAGTACCACTACACTACACTACTACTACAACTACAAGTTTCAAATATACTATGCTGCATTACACAGCACTAATTACACTACACTACACTAATTACATCTAATTACACTAGACTACCCTACTTACATTACAACTACTACAACAGCAACTACTACAACAGCGACTGCTGCTGCTGCTGCTACTACTACTACCACCACTACTACCACTACTACCACCACTACTACTACTACTACGACTACTACGACTACTACGACGACTACGACGACTACGACGACTACGACGACTACGACGACTACGACGACTACGACGACTACGACGACTACGACTACTACGACTACTACGACTACTACGACTACTACGACGACTACGGCGACTACGACTACGACGACTACGACTACCACTACGACTACGACGACTACTACGACGACGACGACGGCTACTACTCACCACTACCACCACCACAGCTACAACTACAAATGCAGCTACACTACATCGCACTACAATCACTAATTAAACTGCAGTACATTACCGCTACAAATGCAAATACAACCACACTACATTACACAACACTTCACTGCACTAATTGCATTACATTACCCTGCAACTGCAACTACCACTACATTGCACTACACTACAACTACAACTACACTACTGTACACTACAATACACCAGACTGCACTACACTATACCAGGCTACAGTGCACAACACTACAGCACACTACAATACACTACACAAATTACACCACACCACAACTACAACTGCAAGTGCAACTATACTACACTAATTACACTACATTACAACTACAACTTGCAACTACAACTCCACTACACTACAGCTACACCTACAACTACAACTACAACTGCACTACACCAGACTACATCCAGCAGTTGTGTTGAGGTGACCACTGCAGCCATTGCAACCACTCCGGAAAACACAACTCTAACCACCTTTCGGTCCATCAGTGGATTCGCTCTGCCATCTGTGAGTCACAACAGCCAACCCTTCCTATAGGTTTCCTATTTTTGAAACTTCCGCCACCGCCTTGTGCGGCACTAATGGTAGACGCATTTCAGAAATTTCATAAAATGTGCATGCCTACATATTATATATATACACATAACCCCCCTTATAATATCCCTTTTAAAATGGCGCCACCCGGGGGGCGCGATTTATAAAAAATAATCGCGCCCCCAGGGGTAAAATCAAAAATTACAATTGCTTATAAACCGAAGTCTTTTGCAATAACGGTTTTGGGAAAATCCCTACTTGAAACTGTCATTTTATAAACCGCCCCTTTTTCTGGGGGCTATAAAATGGCAAACCCCCGTATCTCCTCAGGAGAAAACATGGGGGGCGGGGTCAGCATTAAAAAAATATATTTGTATATTTTTTTTTACCACATGTTTGGGTTATAAAATCATGGTTCCTTTTAAACTTGTCATGTATAGACTCTAGTTGTCATTTAATAAACATTTGGAGAACATTGCCTTATAAAATGATGGTTCGGAAAGCTTGTAATGGAGCGGCGGACAGTCATTTTATAAGAAACTATAAAATTTTATAACAAACTGAGAAAAACATACCCGGAGAATCCCGGAGAAATCAGGTTTGCACAGTTTTTGTTCTTATAAGATGCCCTGGAGGTGCCTTATAGAATGACAGTTTGTCACCTTCAATTCTATCTGACACCAAATTAGTATAAATTGGTAGTATTTCCACTCCCACCTTATAAAATGGAGTTTGCAGCCCCTAAAAAAAAATAAATTTGAAATCAAGGTATGTAAGCGATATTGAGGCGATTTTGGTACCTATGGTCCGTCAAT